GGTTCACGGTTCTGGGTTCCGGATTTCCTTTTCCAGGTTCCGGATTGGTCTCGGGTTCTCAGTTTTGGGTTTTGGGTTCCCGTTTCCGGGTTCCGCATTAGTCTCGGTGGTTGGCTGGGTTCCCGGGTTCCCAGGTTTTGGTGCTAGGGTACGCCATATACAGAATACCATTGAGAGGGAGATGGATGTATACGGAATCGATATGTCCCAGCTGTGTATAAATATGTGCGTGCAGCACGTGCACACGTACAACTATTTGTGTATATTTGTGTGTATATATGTATCTCAACCAATTCACTGATCGTGTTTTTTTCGTGTGTGACACACACTATGTATAATCTATGTTATGATACATACACTATAATACAATCTATCTCGGGAGCGCTCACAGGCGTTCCGGGGAGCCTCCGCAGACAGCGCTCCAGGAGGGCCCAAGACGACTCCCAGGAGCCCCCAGAATGTGAAAGGATGGTCCACGACGCTCCCAAGCAGCCCAAGTCAACCTTCCGACGGCTCTCGAGGCTCCCAGGTGGCCTCCAAGAGACCCCAAGAGAGATCCGAGAGCCGTCCTGGGACGGCCCGAAGAGGCCAACATCGTAGAGTTTCATTGTTGTTTTCAACGTTTTTGGCTTCTCGCGTTTTCGAGCTTCCAACGGTCCAAGAGCACCGTAGAGGCTCCCAAGACCGCCCCAAGACCACCCAAGAGACCCTCAGGACGGCCCCGAGACAGACCAAGAAGGCTCCAAGACTGCCGAAGCGGCGCCCAGGACAGCCCCAGACCACCCCAGAACAGGCCCAAGATGGGCCCAAGAGCGGGAAATGGAGGCTTCAAGATACCGAGGGGCCTCCAGGAACCCCAAGGGCCCCCAACACACCCCCGATCCCTGCAAAAAGACATCGACGAGGCTCCAAGAACAGCCCAAGAGAGCTGCGAGAGCCGTCCCGAGAGAGCCCAACGAGGATAAACTCGTTGATGTCATTTATTAAACAATGATTTAACATGTGTTTCGCCTTCTCACGTTTTCCCGCTTCCAACCCTCGAATATCGAGGATTTTGAAACAAAAACAAGCGGGAATTCCCAGAATTCCCTCCCACTTGGAGATCCCACACATCCCCTGACATCTGGCCTCCGGGAGGCCTGCAGAACCCCCAGGGGTTCCGGAAGATCCCACACCCCTGAGGGGCCCGGCTAACAAAACCCGCGAGGCACAAACAAAAAACAGCGCCGAACAGCGCCGAGGAACTGGAACAAAAATGGCAATCCCACAAGTCCTTCTTTTTTTCAAGTTTGGCCCCCGGTCCACTCTTGCACAACAGACCACACTTTAGACCTCCCTCACCTCCCAAAAGAGAACCCAGGAAGCCTTTGAGGGCCCCAAGTCATTGAATATCTAAAGGAAATTAATGATTTCTGCGTTTCCGCACTTCCCCTTCCATACGATTCCGAGGCTTGCGCAGGGCCTCCAAGGGAACCCCTGGACGCAAGAAGCGACCAACATGACATTACATGAGTTAGCCTATCAAGCCTAGCTAGAACTTGAGCGCGCGCAAAGCGCGCGCGATGGTTCGAGTGTGTGTATATATATATATATATATAAATGTATATCTACACATGTCGTGTGTGTGTGTGTGTTAGTGTGTGTGTGTGTGTGTGTGTATGTGTGTGTGTGTGAGTGTGTGTGTGTGTGTGTATGTGTGTGTGTGTGTTAGTGTGTGTGTGTGTGTGTGTGTGTGTCTGGGTAGTTCTCGCCATCCCCCGCCTGGGATTTCCACGCTCGTGCCCCCTCGCACCATGCCAGCGCATGCGCATCAAACCAGCAGCTCTGTAGGGGTCGGCCTGCGCTGCGGGAGGGCGAAGGAAACGCCGCCCGTTGAGCTGCGCGACAGCTGTCACTTTTGCCCCACTCTACCGCGGAGGCTTGTGTGTTTATGTGCGTGTGTGCGTGCGCTCGCATGCAGCAGCTCTTCGGCACTTCATGTCTCACCATGCGCGCAGCATGCACGGGCTCGGTGTCGACTGATTGCGGGCGCGCTTGGTGGCAGACCCAGGGCAGCACGCTAGCATGCAGCAGCTAGAGATGCCAGCCTCCGGGACTCTGCATCGGTGCACGTGTACGCACACAGCTTTGCCCCGTAGACGCGCTAACGGCGATGCAGGTAACGGCGATGTAAGTTTCGGTATTGCAGGTGGGGGTGATTAGTGGCCAAACCAATTGTAGGAAAGCGTGGTTCGTGGTTCCCTACAACTCACTAGGGCGTTCTTGCTCGATACATTTCGCGTGTTTGAAATGTAGGATAGTTTGGCTCGTGATTTCCTTCAATTTGCTCTGCGCGACTTCAATGCCGCAAAAACCAGATTCCCAGCATCACCATTAACTAACATCGCCCTTAGCGTGGCCTTGGTTGCCTCTGGCATGCCACTGGATGCGAATTTGCATGTATTTGTATCGTCGTAGCTTGGTGCAAACCGAGGGAATGCATGGCTTCTCTGCTCTGTATTTCGTCCGAGGGGGATCATGAAGTTGCCTTGGTTTAGGCTGGCGCTCTAGGCCCCACTCACCTTCGAGAACGGACATGCCTAAACGCGGACATGACGATCCAGCTTAGTTACCAGAACATCATGTTGTTCGTGTTCGTATTGTAGGGCTAGAAACCTGGGGTCGCATATCTAGTTAGGCTGAGGCAGCGCGCCTGAGCATAACTATGGCGATTCAACATGGTTTAAGGAGCTCTGCATGGATCTGATTACGCCTCATCTTCATCCGGGAGTGTTTGGGAGAGACATAGTGTGGCGGATCTAGTGGCCCTCGGGCCATCCCGCCACCGTGCCTAGGTTGTGGGTCAGAGGCCTCTTGGATTGAATGCTTGTTGTGGCTCTGGGCAGCCTCTTGGATGCATTTTTGGGGCCTCTCGGGAGCCATTTTGGGGCCTCGTTTGGGTCTCTTGGAGATCTCTTGGAGCATCCTGGGGGCCTCCTGGTGGCCACCTGGTGGTATCGGTGGTCCTCCTGGGGCGGAAGGCTGGAAGTGTCGGTTCGAGTTCCCCCCGTGGAGCCCCTCTTGGGGCCCTCTTAGGTTGCATTGGGGGTCTTTTGGGCCGTCGTGGGGCTTGGGTGCCTCTGGGGCCGTCTTACATTCTTGTAGGATCCAAACGGCGAATAATACAACATGTAAGTTTTGATAAGGGATTATGACAATTTGTTCCTCTTGGGGACTCTTGGTGTTTTCCTCGGAGCCCTCTCTTGGGACATCTTGGGAGCCTGTTGCGCAGTACTGAGGCCATCATTGGCCGTGTTAGGGCCCTCTTGGGCCAGCCCGTGGCCCTCTTCAACCGCCCTCCGCCCATCTTGGGGCCCTCTTGGGCCGTCGGGGCAGAACATTGAACCACCTACGCCGCTCAGAGCCCCGGGTGGGAAAAGTGTTTCAGGGGGGGGGGCAGCATGGAGGTTTTGGTTCCTTTTTGGGGTCTCTGAGGCCGCCTGGGGTCCTCTTGGCCTGTCTTGGGGCTCTTTTGGGCCGTCTTGGGGCCATCTTGGGCTTTCCTTTGCCGTTGCCAGCCGTCTTGCGAGTCAAAGGGAACCATCTTGGAACCTCTTGGGGTTCCCTTGGGATCCTGTTGGTCTCGGGGCCGTTCTGAGGGAGTCTTCGGCCATTGTTGGGCCTTCTTGAGGATCCATGGGAGCCTCCTGGATCGCCGTGAGGTTACGTTGGAGGCATCTAGGGTTGTCTTGGGCTTCGGAAGCTTGAAACGGACAGAGTTCGACAATATTTTTCAACATTTTTTGGACCATGGGTGAGTTTTCGCTTCTGGGGGCCCTCTTGGAGGTCCTCTTGGGTTCCTCTTGGGGCGTCTTGGGGGCCTCTTTGACGGCTACATTGGGGCGTCTTGAGGCCCTCCTGCGTTGTGGTGGGTCTTGGATGCCCTCTTCGGAGCCTCCTGGGGCCGTCTGCGAGGCCTCATGCGCCCTCCTGGCCGTGCGGCGGCATCCCTATGGGAATTCTGGGGCACCTCTTCCCCAGGCGGCTTCTCTGTACGCAGTGCCCCCCCCCCAAAAAAAAAACATACAACAGGGGACAGGACTGGAGAGCCAAGAGATACGATAAAGAACAGAACAGCTGAGCCACCTTGAGGCTTCATCTGGATAGCTTTTAGGCCTTATTGGCCAATCTTTGGGCCTCTCTGGGGCATTTTTCGGGCCGCTGTGGCCGTCGTCGGGCCATCGCAGGCAATCTCGGGGCAATCTTCGCGTGCGAATCGATGCGCATCGCGTTCAGAGCATGTCGCCCAAACCACAGCGTTCAACGCTCCGAACACGCTGCCGAACAATCTTGCACTCTTCTGGCCCGTTGGGCTGGCGAACTTGCGCTCGTGTGGAGGGTTCCGGCAGAAGGCGTCCATACACCACCACACCGCGATGCCCCGCCTTGGCCAGGCGTGATGGTGGGCAGGCATGGTGGTGTAAGTATACGTCGAATAGGTCCCGAGCTTCCTTCCTCCCCCCTTCCCTCCTCCTTCCAAGGGCCCTCGACGCCTCCCACAAGAGAGGCGGGCGCCAGAAGCCGCGCGACGCTTTGAGACACATGAGCACCTGGCTGGCGCGTGGCGGCGCGAAGTTTGCCGCGTTCTTGGCCCATGTGCGCGGCGACCTTGCGAAAGGGGAAAATTGGATGAACTGTTCTGCATGCCGGTCAGAACTGATTGGATGGGGCCTTTTAGAAGCCGTCGCTGGCATCCTGCCCAGCAGCGGCGGTTCTGGGACCATGACCCCGATGAGGCCGCATTGCTACTTGATGGGGTCCAGACGTGCGCGTGCGTGTACATGTGCGTGTGCCAGCCTGGCCGATGCCGATCCCACGCGTGTGTGTATATGTGTCAACGAGTCCCCGCAATGTGTGAGCGTGCACCGTCCGTGGCCACTTTGGCTCAGACGTTTCTCGCTAGCTAGCCCAGCCATCGGCGCCTCGCCAGTTCGGTTTCCCGACTCGCCGCGCGAGTTGTCATGGCGCCCACCAGCGCAGACACTCGCGACGCTGCCGCGCTCGTCGACCTTATCCGCGAGAGGCTGGCGTTCGTAAGCGCGCAGCGTGGAGCGGGCATCGCGGAGGAGATCCTGCTGCAGTCGCAGGCCGCTGCCCCCGCCTCGGCGACCAGCGCGACCGCGGACTTGGCCGCGGCCGTCACCGAGGTCGTCGCGGCGGGCCCCTGGTCGGACCGCCAGAAGGCGATGCCTGCCAGCGCCCTCGCTGGCGCAGCGATGGCTGGCCCGGGCCCCCAGCCGACGGGGCAGCCGAGGAAACGGCAGAAGTGCGCTCTCTTACCTTGGTTCTTCCTCCAGAGGGACTGGGGCTGGCTCGTGAGTGCAGAGCTGAGCGTCGCGGCGAAGATCTCGCTGGTCGCCCACCGAATGTGGCCGTTGGGGATAGTGCGCCCGTCTGAGGGATTTCGGAAGCAAGGCGTCGCCATCGTGATCTGCCGCGACACCGCCCTGGCCAATGTCATTGGCTCCGAGAGGAGGCGCCTCGCATTGCGGCTGAAGGATGCCGTCCGAGGTGCAGCCAAGCCCCGAACCCACGGCCGCGCCTTGGCGTGCCCGCGCGTCCCCGAGATGCCTAGCATACCGGTGCGTGCGTTCGCCTGCGATGCTGACCAGCCCGTGCCGCCGCCGCAGAGCGTCCTCGAGATCTACGACAGCGTTCTCCGTGGCGTTTGCATTCGCGCCGCGTCTGGGCATGTCGCTGGTGACAGCGCGGGATGCAGCTCGCACTCGCAGGTGGGCCTGGGAGCGCAGGCGCGCAGCGTGCGCGTGGCCCCGCGGCATTGATCCAGAGCGTCGCCCAGCAGGCGTTCGGGGCCCAGATGCAGTTGATGGCCGCGCAGTTCCCCATCGATGTTTCCAGGGGTCTCAGGGCCCAGCCCGTGTTTCCCCGCGCCGCGCGCGGTCGGGCACGACCCCGCAGGCGTCGCGATCCCTCTTCGTGCTGCAGCTGCTGGCGCTAGTGGCCGCGTGGACGAACAGCCGCTGTCTCGGCCGCGCGCCCTGGCGGATGGCGCCGTCGAGAGCCATGGCTCGCTTGCTGCGGCGACGGGGACGGCGACGCCTGCGACCGCTGCGTCTGGGTCGGCCGCGGGGGCGCTAGCCGAGTTGGAAGCCCACGTGGCCGTCGCCGCTTCAGGTGCCGCGGCAGCGTCCAAGGCCAAGGTCGAGGAGAAAGCGCAGGAGAAGGCCAGCGGGGAGGTCATGGGCAAGGCCGCGGGCACCATGGTCGCGCCGACCCGCGGCAAGCCCGCGGCCGAGTCGGGGAACGCGCCGGGTGGCTCGTCAGGCCCACTATAGAGCTGTAGGGCTATAGGGCTCTAGGGCGATTAGGCTCTAGAGCTATAGGGCTATTGAGCTATAAGGCTATAAGGCTATAGGGCACCCTGGGCACCCGGGCACCCCCGGACACGCCCGGGCACCGAGGCACCTGGGCACCCGGGCACCCGGGCACCCCCGGGCACCCGGGCACCCCCGGTCACCCGGGCGCGCAGCGAAAATCGGCGGCAAACTTGACCTAGCCATATGAATCCGCTACGGCCCTTACAGAGGCAAGCTCTGATTGGGGAGTAGTGATACCGGAGAAAAACTCCAATCATAATCTTTGTAGGGCTATATGGCTATATGGGCTATAGGGCTATTGATCTATAGGGTAGTAGAGCTACAGGGCTATGGGGCTATAGGGTGATAGGGCTATAGGGCTATTGGGCACCCCCGGGCACCCGGGCACGCCCGGGCACCCGGGCACCCCCGTGCACCAGGGCACCCGGGCGTGCAGCGAAAATCGGCGGCAAACCTAACCTAACCATATGCATCTGGTAGGGCCCCATGCAGGGGTAAGCTCTGGCTGGGGAACTTGGCTCGAGCATATTCTTAAGTATTCGTGCTTCTTGTAAGCGCTACGGCTGCAACCAATAATATTACGAGCGCTACCGCTAGAGCTGGTGTGGCCAGCGCAAGCGCAGGATGGTAGCGGGGGCGAACTCGGGGAGGGAGGTCCGCGTCCGCGCGCGCGCGGCCGGGGGCGCGCGAGCTCACTGTCGCCCTGGGCGAGCCCGGGGTGCGATCCGCGAGCGCGGGCGCGCGGGCTCGACGCCGAGCGCCGGGCGCGAACCGTGGCCCCGGGCGCGCCGCGGCGCCGGCAGCCGCGCGCGCCCTGCGCCCGGCCGCGTGGCAGGCAGGGGCCGCAGGCGCGGCGCGCCCCGACCTCTGCCCTCGCGCCGTTTCGCCGCGTTGCAGGCGTTGAAGTTATTGGCGAAGGCGGCGCGACGGCGACAGCGCGCCGCGCGGGCCGGTTGGGCGGCGTTTCGCACGTCCTGTTGCTGCTGCTGTGTCCGTTTGCGTCGTCGGCTCGTGATGCCTTGTCTGCGCCTGCTTGCCTTGCTTGCTTGCATGCGCTGCTGTTCTGCGTCCGTCTGCGTCGTCTGTCTGCGGTCCGCGCGCGCGCCGCTTGCCTGCCTGGTCGCCGCGCCGCCCCGCGTTCCGCGCCCGTGCTGCCGCTGCCTGCGTCCGTCTGCGTCGTCCGCTCACGTTGCCTTGCTCTGCTGCGCTGGCCTGCTCTGCTTGCCTGCCCGTGCCGCAGGTCTGTGTCCGTCTGCGTCGTCCGTCCGCGGTTCGCGCGCGCGCCGCTTGCCTGGTCGCCGCGCCGCCTCTCGTTCCGCGCGCAGGTTCCACGTCTCCCTCCCTCTCCCCTTTGGATGCCTACTTGGCGCGTTATCTCGGGAGATGCGAACCGCTCGCGCTGGTGGTTCTGTCACCCGACTCCCCCGCCAGTTTTGCCAGGCTCTGCGCTGGCCTGCTCCGCTTGCCTGCCCGTGCCGCCGGTCTGTGTCCGTCTGCGTCGTCCGTCCGCTTTTCGCGCGCGCGCGCCGCTTGCCTGGTCGCCGCGCCGCCTCTCGTTCCGCGCGCAGGTTCCACGTCTCCCTCCCTCTCCCCTTCGGGTGCCTAGTTGGCGCGTTATCTCGGGAGATGCGAACCGCTCGCGCGGGTGGTTCTGTCGCCCGACCCCCCCGCCAGTTTTGCCGGGCTCGAGGCGGGGACCTCATGCTACTGCATCTCCGTGGAGATGCGCTCGCGCGCGTGGCGCGCCCCGCCAGCTCCGGAGCCGCAAATGCGACGGAAGGCTCCGGCGCCCTGTGGGTCAGGGCCCCTCTGCGGGCTACAGCGCCGTGCACGGGCGTCGCATAGCTGATGGTGGAGCCGCAGAAGCGGATGTCAGGCTCCAGCGTCGGCGCGCGTCGCGGGCTCTGGCGGGCCTGCTCCGAGCCGCTCTGTCTCCCCTGGTCAGCCCTGGTCCTCGGCGGACCATTCGTTCGGCCTGGTTGTGCCGCGCGCCTAAAATGGAGCTCGGCCAGCTCGCGCCGCGCTCTACGTGGGGCCGCTCTGGGTTTGTTTGCGCCCTGGTCCCTGGCGAGCCCATCGTTTTGCCAGTTGGTGCCGTGCTCCTCGTGAAGCCACTCTGGGCCAGTCTGCGCCCTCGCCCCTAGCGGGCTCACCTCTCGGCGAAGTTGCGCCGCGCTCTACGCGGAGCTACGCTGGGGCAGCGTGCGCCCGGGTCCCTGGCGGATCCATCATGTGGCCAGGTTGCGCCGCGCTCGACGTGGAGCCACGCTGGGCCAGTCTGTGCCCTGGTCCCTAGCGGGCCCATCGTTCGGCCAGTTGCGCTTCGCTCTATGCGGGGCTACGCAGGGCCAGCGTGTGCCCTGGCCCTTGGCGGGCCCATCGTTCGGCCGAATGTCTGAAACCGCTTCAAAACATGGTGGCCCCCCCTTCCCCCCCCCGCGGGCCCCGACTGCCATTCATTCGCGTCCGGATAAATTCCATGGATGCTGATCGATGCCACTTGTGTACACATCGGTGCCAGGGAAAATGCCGATGGGGATGTCCCCGTCTTCCGATCAAGGAATGAATTTCTACATTGGGTTTTCGCCATTGGGTTCTTGAGTTCAACATCGCTCCCGTGGTGTGCAATCTATCAGCGGTGTGTCGCCGCCGCGCGCGCGTTGGCGATTAGCATTTGTGCATTCAGTTTCGCATGTCCACATGGGGATGTTCCCGTCTTCCGATCAGAGAATGATTTTTTTTGCCAGGTGTTTTCGCCATTGGGTTTTGGAGTTCAGCCCCGCTCCCGTTGTATACAACCCATCAGCGGCATGCCGCCGCCGCGCGCGTTGGCGATTGGCATTTGTGCATTCAGTGTCGCATATCCACATGGGGATATGTTCCCGTCTTCCGATCAAAGCATTTTTTTTACCTTTGGTTTTCGCCATTGGGTTTTGGAGTTCAACATGGCCCCCGTTGTTAAACAAACTCATCAGCGGCATGCCGCCGCCGCGCGCGCGCGAGCGCGCGCGCGTTGGTGATTGGCATTTGTGCACCTAGTGTCGTATTTCCACATGGGGATGTTCCCGTCTTCCGAGCAGGGTTATATATATTATATATTATATATATATATATATATATATACCGCATAGACCACCCTTCGGGCGATAAGGAGGTGAGGGGGGGGGGGGGGGACCAACGTCGCACTCGATTGATCTCACTATCGAACTCACTACCGATCTCACAGTCGACCTCAATCGATAGATCTCACAATCGGTCTGACTATCGATCTCACAATCAATCTCACAATCGATCCCACAAACGATCCCACATTCGGTCTCGCTATTGATCTCACAATCGATGTTACAATCGATCTCGCATTCGATCTGACTATCGATCTCACTATTAAACTCACTATCGATCTCATTATCGATCTCACATTCGGTCTCACTATTGATCTCATTATCGATATCACAATCGATCTCACAATCGATCTCGCATTCGGCCTCATTATCGATCTCTCTATCGAACTCACTTTCGATCTCATTATCGATTTCACTGTCGATCTCACTATCGATATCACAACCGAACTCGCAATCGATCTCACATTCGGTCTCATCATCGATCTCACTGTCGAAATCACTACCGATCTCATTACCGATAGTGATCTCACTACTAACTCAATCGATCGATCTCACAATCGATCTGACTATCGATCTCACAATAGATTCCACAATCGATCTCACATTCGGTCTCACTATCGATCTCACTATCGATCTCACAATCGATCTCACAATCGATATCCCATTCGGTCTCACAATCGATCTCACAATCGATCTGATTATCGATCTCACATTCGGTATCACAATCGATCTCACAATCGATCTCACAAGCGATCTGACATTCGATCTCACGTTCGATCGCACAATCGATATCACTACCGATCTCACCATCGATCATCAAAACAAAACATCAGCATCGTCATCATCATCACCATCATCATCATCAATATCATCGCCATAATCGGGGCACCGACGGGGCACCGGCGGGACACCGCAGGCCCCCGGTTGCCTGGAAGGGGGTCATTTGGTCCGGCCGCGCCTCAGCCACAGACACCGACGGGACATTAGCGGGGCACCGGCGGGACACCGCGGGCCCCTGGCCGCCCGGAAGGGAGACATTTGGTCCGGCCGCGCCTCAGCCACAGGAGATTTTCTCTCGCCCGCCCACGCAGCTTCGCCTCGCCCGCGTGCACGGCACGCACGAACACGAAACCGAAATCGATTTCCCGGTAGGGGGGCTCTCCGTTCCACTTCGATTTCACCCCTCACCTCCGATATATGTATATATATATATATATATAAAAAATATATAACATTGGGTTTTCGAGTGCAACATCGCTCCCGTTGTGTGCAACCTATCAGCGGCATGCCGCCGCCGCGCGCGCTGGCGATTGGCATTTTTGTATGTAGCCTCGTATACACATTAGGATGTTCCCGTCTTCCGATTGGAGAACGGATTTTTACATTTGGTTTTCGCCATTGGGTTTTGGAGATAAACATCGCCCCCGTTGTATAACATCTATCAGCGGCGTGCCGCCGCCGCGCGCGCACGAAATGTCGCTTTGTTTCGCAAAACCAATCAGCGGCATGCCGCCGCCGCGCGCGCGTTGGCGCTTGACATGTTTGCATTCAGCGCCGTATATCCACGTGGGGGTGCCCCCGCTTTCCGATCAGAGAATGATTTTCACCATCGGTTTTTCGCCATTGGATTTTGGAGTTCAACCTCGCTCCCGCTGTGTAACAAAAAATCATAAGCGGCGTGCCGCCGCCGCCGCCGCCGCGCGCGCGCGCGCGCGCGCGCGTCGGCGAGTGGCATCGGTGCATTCAGTGTCGCATATCCACATAGGGGTGCCCCCGTCTTCCGATCAGAGACTGAATTTTTACACGGGGTTTTCGCCATTGGGTTTTGTAGTTCAACATGGCTCCCGTTGCATCAGATCTATCAGCGGCATTCCGCCGCCGCGCGCGCGCTGGCGATTGGCACCTGTGCATCCAGTGTCGCATATCCACATGGGGATATGTTTCCGTTCTCCGATCAGAACATTTTTTTTTACCTTGTGTTTTCGCCATTGGGTTTTGGAGTTGAACCTGGCTCCCATTGTATAAAGATTCGTCAGCCGCATGCCGCCGCCGCCGCGCGCGTTGGCGATTGGCATCTGTGCATTCAGTGTTGCATATCCACGCGGGGATGCTCGCGTTTTCCGATCAGACAATATGTTTTTATATTGTTTTTCTGCCATTGGGTTTTGAAGTTAAACATCGCTCCCGTTGCATCACATCTATCAGCGGCATGCCGCCGCCGCGCGCGCGTTGGCGATTGGCATCTATGCAATCAGTGTTGTATTTTTTACATAGGGATGTTCCCGTCTTCCGATCAGAAAATGAATGTTTACGTTTCGTTTTTGCCATTGGGTTTTGGAGTTAAACATCGCTCCCGTTGCATCGAATCTATCAGCGGCATGCCGCCGCCGCGCGCGCGTTGGCGAATGGCATTTTTGAATTCAGTGTCGTATACCCAGATTGGGATGTTCCCGTCTTCCGATTAGAGAATGATTTTTTACAGTTGGGTTTTCGCCATTGGGTTTTGGGGTGCGCCATCGCTCCCGTTGCATCAAATCTATCAGCGGCATGCCGCCGCCGCGCGCGCTTTCGTTGGCGACTGGCATTTTTGATTCAGTGTCGCATATCCACGCGGGGGTGTTCCCATGTTGCGATTAGAGAGTTTTTTTTTTTGTTATATACATCGGGTTTTCGCACTTGGGTTTTGGATATCAAATATCGCCCCGCTGTATCAAATCCATCAGCGGCACGCTTCCGCCGCGAGCGCGCGAAATTTCGCCCCGGTGTATGAAATTTGTCAGCGGCGTGCCGCCGCCGCGCGCGCGTTGGCGCTTGCCATTTTTGCATTCAGCGTCGTATGTCCACATTGGGATGTCCCCGTCTTCCGATCAGGGAATTATTTTTTTCATTGGGTTTTCGCCATTGGGTTTTGGATTTTAACATCGCCCCTGTTGTATAACATTTATCAGCGGCGCGCCGCTTCGCAACCCAGACAGGGTGCCCGTTGCGCAGGGAGTGGTCCCTGAGCGCTTTCTCTATCCACGCTGGGGTCGCAGGGCGTGGCAGGCGTGGCCTGACGCCAAGAGGGGGTGCGCAGGAATCTGCCCCTGCACGCAGGGCGCCAGGGCGGTCGCGGGGGCGTCTCCAGCGATCCAGTTTGCCCCGCCTCCCTTTTGTGTTCTATGGGCGCATTGCAGCGCTGGGGAAAACAATGTTTTAAACTGTCCCCCCATTTTTGTTTGACATTTCGTGTGCCGCGCTCTACGCAGGGCTTTCTGGGCCAGGGTGCGCCCCGGCCCCTGGTGGGCCCATCCCTCGGCCAGTTGCGCCGCCCTCTAAGTGGGGCTACTCTGGGCCTGCGTGCGCCCTTGGGCAGGCCCGTTGTTCTGTCAGGATGTGCCGCGCCCGGGTGGACTACCCTGGGCCAGTCTTTGCCCTGATCCCTAGCGGGCCTGTCGTGACCTGTTAGCGTCGCGCTCTGCGCGGGCTCCTCCGAGGACCCTCCAAGGGTCGCCGCGCAGTCAGTCGCCGCGGTTCGCCTAGCGCTCGCGACGCTGGCAGTTGAGCATTTGCTGCGTGACTTCCCGCGCGATGTCCGCGCGCCGCCTCGTGTTCCCGACGCGCGCGCTTGGGTTGAAGAAGCCGCCGTGCTATGCGAGGAGAGCGATGCGCGGCGCGCCCAGGTCGCGCGCGCGCGGCCCTGCCGCCCCTTTCGGCTCGCAGCGAACCCACTGCCGTTGTTGAGCGATGCGCTGGTCGCACTCGATGCGAAATCATGGAGGTTGACCGCGGGCAGACGGCACTTCCAGGCGGGCGCTGCCCGCCTCGCGATGAAGACTTGGGCCTTCAGGAGTGGTGCGGCGGGCGTCCGACCCGACGACTGGCGCGGGTGCGCTCGACGCCCTGGCAGCGGCGCTCGAGGGGCCGATCGAGCCCAGTGAGTGTGCGCGTGGACAGTGGCGCCAAGCTCGCCAGGCTGAACTTGGCGGGTTTACCCCCGCGGGCGCGGCCGCGGACGGCTGAGGCCGGCAACGACCGAGATCGCGAGGCTTAAAATGCGAGGACGCGCCGATCCTGGTGTTTATGCTGATTTGCGGACCTGGCTGCGCCGGGGCGCTGCCCT